TTGCTGATGTGCTGTTCTAATAGTTTTTGGATGATCTTCAGTAGAATCTTGCTTGCATGTGAAATCAATGACACTGTTCTGTAGTTTCCACACTCAGGTCACCTTTCTTCGGAATGGGAACAAATATAGATCTCTTCCAGTCAGTTGGCCAAGTGGTTGTTCTCCAGATTTCTTGGCACAACTTGGTGAGCACATCCAGGGCAACATCTGTTATCTGGAATACTTCAATTGGTATACCATCTGTTCCTGGGGCCTTATTTTTTGCTATTTCCTTCAAAGCAGCTTGAACTTCTTCCTTCATCACCATAGGCTCTTGCTCATATGTGGAGAAAGAAAATCAGCTGCTCATATGCAAGTTCTGATTGAAGTGGATGAAAACAAACCCTCTGAGAGCCAAAGCAAAATCCTGAGTATACCTCATCTGAGTTCAGAGATGGTCACAGGAAGAGCTTTGACATGTTGAAAATTAACCACCAGATGGGTTGTGGGATAACATCAAAGATACCATGAATGAAGAAACCAGAAGGTCACTGAAAAGACAGAAGAAAATGAAAAGACCAAAAATGGATGCCCAAAGAGCTCTGTTGTCAAGGATCTCTCCAAAGTACTAAAGAACAATGATGCCACTTTAAAGATTAAGGTGCAACTGATCCAAGCCATAGGTTTTTCAATTGCTTCCTATGCATCTGAAAATTGGACAGTGAATAAGGATGACTGAAGAAGAATCAATTCCCTTGACTTGTGGAACTGAAGAAGAGTACCGCAGACTGCCAAAAGAACAAACAGGTCTATCTTGGAAAAAGTGCAACCAAGAAACTCCTTAGAGGCAAGGATGGTGAAATTTTGTCTCATTTACTTTTGATATGTTTCCAAAGGTCAGAGAAAGAGAGGAAGACTCTCTACAAAACAGATTGATATCGTGATTCTAGCAATGCATTGAAGCCTATCAGAGAGCATGTTGTGAGGACGGCATAGGGTAGGGTAAGGTCAGACCTGTTGTTGTCCATTGTGTTGCCATGAGTCAAAGGTGACAACACCACCACCACCACCACGAAACTCTGAAACTTGCTCCTAATGAAAGTGGGTGGAAGCAGGGAGTAAAGAAAACAGCTGAACAGAAGATTTCAAAGGATGACTCAATAAGACAGAGTAAAGCATTAAAATCAAATGTACAGAGACCTGCAGTTAGAAGACCCAAAGAGAAGGACTTTCTCATCATTTCTTAAGATGAAAGAATTGAAGGGAAAAATCAGCCTTCAGTTGCAATATTTTAAGATTCTACAGACAGAAAATTGAAAATGCTGGAGGATCAAAGAAAGATGGCAGAATCGAGAGTTCTGCCCCAGAAAGAACAGTGAGTGTTCAACCATCTCAGGAGGCAGCATGTAATCAGGCAATGACAAGGGGAGAAGGCCAACCTGCTGTGGGAAGCACGTCCATGGACCAAGAAACAGCAGCTGTCCAGACAGAGCAAGAGGAGGACACTGCGTGGTTCAAAACCGGGAGAGGGTGCATCAGGCTGTCCTGTCTCCACAGTTGTTCACGCTGTATGCTGAGAAAATCATCTGAAGAGCTGGACTCTGAGGAAGAATGTGGCTTTAGGACTGGAGGAAGTCTCATCAACAACGCGAGTTATGCAACAACCTTGCTTCTGAGAGTGATGAGGACTTGAAACACTTACTGATGAGCTCAAACATTTCAGTATAGACTATATCTCCACATCAAAATACCTTCATAAAAAGACCAGTAAACAATATCATGGTAAGTAGAGAAAATATTGAACTTGTCAGAGATTTCATTTTATTTGGATCCACATTCAACGTCCACGGAAGCCACAGCCAAGAAATGAAACAGCCCATTGCACTGAGCAAACCTGCTGGGAGTAAAGTCCCTCTGAGGACCGACCCGAATCATCATGTGCTCAGTGATCTTACAAGTATGTGAAAGTTGTGCCACAAATAAAGATCAAAGGACTGACGTCTTTGAATTATGGTATGAGCGAGGAACAGTAAGTATATCATGGATTGCCAGAAGAGAAAATCAATTTGTCTCGTAAACATACAGCCAGAAGCCAGAATGCTCCTTAGAAGGGAGGATGGCTGGACTCAGCTCACATGCTGTGGATATGTTATCGGAGGGACCAGTACCTGGAGAAGGCCATCATGACTGCGAAGTAGGAGGTAACAAAAAGAGGAAGACGTGCAACAAAATGAACTGACACAGTGGGGACAGCGAGAGGCTGAAACATGGCAGTGGGTGTGGATGTGGGTGTGCTGTTTTGCAGAGTCCCTGAGGTGGAGTGGACTCAGGGGCACCTATTGACAACAACACATGAGGGACGGAGCGTCTAGTGGACATGGCTAGTGCATTTAGCTGCTCACTAGAAGGCTGGGGGTTTGTCCCACACAAGTTGACGTGGAGGAGAAGTCGGGCTAACAACAGCCACTGGAGATCCCACAAGCACAGCTGTGCTCCCCCCAACACGAGGCTCAGGCACTGGAGTGGACGTGATGCCCGCTGGCTGACTGTCCCAGGGATACAGCTGTGTATACAGAATTCTGAGGATATTCAGGAAAATGTCTGTTACGGCTTGAATTATGTCTCCTCTACACCTATGGTTCAATCCCATTTAGGAATTAGTTTTGTGTTAAGTTATTGAAGTAGGATCAGTGGAAGGTGTATTTTTAAAAAATTTTGCTTTATTTACAAGTTTCACTTAAGTATCTCTAATGGTGAGAAAATTGGAGTCAAATACATACATTCGTATGTAGCTTAAAATACAGATGCCAGTAATTAAAAGTAATTAAAACTTTTCCAAGTAAATATCTGATGAGAAACATTGGAAGGTGTGTTTTGAGTCAGTTTCTCACAAGAGATAAAAGGAGAGAGGAACATAAAGCTGACCAGGATCTTTCTCAGGGTGTGCACGTGCACACCCCACACCCCCAGTGACTCCCCTGGACCTGGAGCCCAGACTGTGGATGTCCAGCTGCCAACCCCAGGCAAAACCACGTTTGTTTGTTAAAGTCATCTGCAGGTGATGTTTTTTTAACAGTACTAGTTAACTAAGATGATGTTTTTTATTTTTCATTAAAGTTTGATGTCTGAATTGTGTTGGTGCCGGAGATGGAGTACATCGTGGATTGTCACCACCAACAAGTCTGTCTTGGAGGAAGTGTAAGCACCTTGAGGTTGTTAGGTGCCGTCGAGTCACCTGCGACTCATAGTGACCCTGTGTATAACATCTCTGATACCCGCTCTATCCTGAGCCAACCTACTGTCTCTGACACTCCTACTCCCACTACTGCAGTCACTGAATCAATCCATCTCATCTGAGGTCTTCTTCTCCTGTGCTGTTCCTCCACCCTCTCAAGCATGATGTCCCTCTCCAAGGACTAGTCCCTCCTTACAACACAACCTCAACTATGTCAGATGGAGTTTCAGAATCCTTGCCTCCAAGGAACAGCCTGGTCTCACCCTCTCCAGGATGAACCTGTTTGTTCTCCTAGCAGTCCATGATATGTTCAATACTCTTCTCCAACACCACAGCTCAAAGGCATCAATTTTCCTTCTATCATCCCTAGCCATTGTCGATTTTTCTGATGCATAACAAGTGATTTAGAAGACCATGGGCCTAGATCACGCGCACCTTAGTCTCCAAGCTGATATTGTTGCTCTTCAGCAGGCTTTCCCAATGCAATTAGTATTTTGGTTTCCTGGATGCTGGTACCAAGAGTGTTGATTGTGAAGCTGAACAGGCTGAAGCTGTTAACAATCTCAGTCTCTTCACTGTCTACCATGATGCTGAGGTAAGGAGGTGGAACTGGGCCTCCATCCTTGGGCATGTTGTCAGAAGGGGCCAGTCTTTGGAAAAAGACGTCATGCTGGGAAGGTGAGGATCAGAGAAAGAGAGGAAGAGCCGTAAGCGGATGGACTGATGGTGACTGTAACAATGGGCTCAAGGACAGCAGCGTCGGTGTGGACATCGCCGGCCAGGCAGGGCTGTGCGTGGGGTCACTGAATCGCAGCAGTCTCTGTGACATCTAAGAAGAGTGACTTGTTCTGTAGGAAAGTTACTAATGCTTATAAAGTTATGTTTACTACTCCAAATCTCATCTCTTAGTTTAGAAGTGAATCTAATTGTTTGATACAAACAAAAAGTACTAATTACAGGTAAAAATTACCAGAAGTACAGCCAAACCAGCCGGTGCGGAGTTGTTCCGTCTCCCGCAGGCCCCGGTGAGAGAGGCCTGTGCACCACAGACTTCGTGTGACCCTTCCCAAGCAGCTCAGCAGGCCTTCTTCAGAGGTGCCTCTGGGGGGCTTGAACAGACAGCCTTTAGGTTTGTAGCTAAGGCTGCGTAGCCAGCTGTGCCACTTAGAACCCCTGAATGGTAAATCCTCTCGGTCTCTTCATCGCTCTGGCTCGTAGCGACCCTGCATGGGGTTCCTGAGACAAATTGTTTTTTACTGTAATTTGAGTGAAGTTTATGAAGAAAATAGTTTTTCCATTCCAGCATCCACACACCATTTGTTTAACGGCCTTAATGGCAACATCCTCAATGTGACCGAACTCTTCATGCTTCCTCTCTGTGATTCCAGTTTCCACGAATCCTTTCATCCTAGCCTTTCTTGTCTACTGGGTTTTGTTCCCGGGCAAGGGATGCCTTTTTGCCTTTACGTGGCTGCTACTCTAAGGAGAGCACGTCAGCACTGTAATGGGAGGAGACCATTCCATTCTTCTCCCTCAGCATGGCTGATGGATTTGAACCGCCGACCTTTTGGTTAACAGCCAATACATACAACCATAATATACTTCACCACCCAGCTCCCTCCATCGTAATCACAAAGCCCAGGCCTGAGGTCCTGCTGTGAACTCGGGGACTCTGACAACGCTTTGGTGACTCACTGTCCCCACGGCCTCCTCAGCGTTCCCCCAACCCTGTGTGGGGATTGGGACGGACCTCGAGTGACCCTCGCTCTGCGCGCACGTGCCTCACCGGTGGGTGCCAGCAGCACGGCCAGGAAGTCGGGGGTGTGCGAGCTGACATACAGCAGGATGCAGGGTGCCTTGGAGGTGCTGAAGCTGAAGCTGAGCTGCTCCTGGGCCAGGTCGGGTGCCAGGTTCTGCGGGTCAGTCCCCTCGGCCCTGCCTGGGGACTCCCGGGTGCTGGTCCCTGCGGCCTGGAAGTTGTACCGGAGCCACATGCCCTCCTCAAAAAATGCGCCGACATCTGTGGGAACAAGGAGAGACAGGCTGCTGTGAGACAGGCTCAGAACAGATGCTGGCCCTGTGTCCATGTGAGGGAACAGTGTGGGGTGAATCACCCTCCTGGAAAGTGAGTTCACATCCCTGTCCTCATGCTCTGAATGTGACCATGTTTGGGGATGGGGTCTCTGCAGGTGCTATCAGCCTGGCCCCCACATCAGGCTGGGTCACATCTCCTTCTGCCTGGGGTCTTATGTAAGGAGGGGAGGTACAGTGATGCAGCCACCAGCCCAGAAGGCTGGGCCCAGAGTGAGAGACAGGCAGGCTTGTCACCGGACGACTGCAGGAGCACTGCCCTGCCCATCTTGGTTACCAACCGGCCCAGCAGTGAGGGGACACGTTTTTGTTTTCTGGGTCTCCAGGTGTGGCCGTTGGTCCCCATAGCCCCAAGAGACCAAGGACTATCCTTTTATCCAAACATTCTATGAAGAAAGTAACCAGGTACCACAAATGTGGAAACCTGCAAATTAAAAAGTCTACTAGCAAAAGACAGCATTTATGGAGTGACAGGCAGGGGCCTGTTCTCTGTGAACAAGCCCCTTGCTCTCTGCAGACCCCTTCCTCCCTCCTCCCTCCACTCTCCTGCCCCTTCCTGGAAGCTGAGGAGAACCTGAGGAGACCCTCACCCTGGAAGGAGCGTAGAGCTGAGGCCCTCAGTGCAGGGATGGTGACCTTTCCACCTCGGAGGGCACCAGGCCGTGTCCAGTGCGCTGTGTGTCCACTCCTGGAACCCAGCACGGTCAGTCCACACAGGGTTAGGTCTCCTCTGTCACCCAGCTTGTGATCATGTTGTTACCACTGGCCGACACTACAGACCCAGGGTGGGTGGCATCTGGCACCTGGCGGACGAGTGTCCAGTGTGACCACACTGTCCCTGCCTCTCCAGGCCAGTCCCCTTACCCATCAGCCTCAGGTCATAGTCCAAGGTCTGCATGTGCAGAGGACAGCCAATCAGAGAGAAGCCCCTACCTCCTGAGCACCACGTGCTGTGTAGGACACGGTGGGACAGGACACGTCATACATGGGAGAGCCTCGTGCTACACAGAATGTGGCTATCGGCTGGTGTCCAGTATTGTGACCACAAGGGGTGACTAGCACTGTGATAGCAGTCAGTGTCCAACCCCGACAGCAGGTGGCATTGGGAGGGCCTCGCCAAGAAGAACCTTCTCCAGGGTCTCCAAGACCACACTCTTGAGGCTGTTGATGAAGGCCTCACAGCACAGGCCACACGACACAGGCCACATGGCAGAGGCCACAGTGTGGTTGGGAACAGGATCCTACAGAGACGCCGAGAGTCACTCAGGAGCTGCTCCCATTACCCCGTGACCAGACCTGGATTATTTTCACCACACTGGTTCATTCAATCTTCTACTTTTCACTGTTCTAGAAACTGTATGTTTTACATTTGTGTATACACATTTTAATATACATTTATATGTAGACATTTAAAATAGCTTCTGTACAAGTACAGGGAACTGAGTGGTACAGAGTTGTGCTGCCATCCCAAAGGCATGTGGCTTGAATCCACAGCTGCACCACGGGAGAAGGATGGGCAGTCTCCTCCCATGCAATTTACAGCCTCTGTATACCTTCTGGAGGGCCAGTTACGAGTCAATTCTGACTTGATGGCACACAACAACCACCACCACCACAATATACAAAGTATAAACCTAAAGGTTGGTGGTTGAGTCAACCAGCAGCTCCAAGGAACAAAAGCCTGCCAACCTGCGTCTGTGAAGACTACAGCTTAGAAAACCCTTTGAGAAGCTCAACTCTGTACAAGCAAGGAAGCCTCATGGCAAGTAGCCTAGGTTTTTATTTGATGGAGTGTTGTTGTTATGTGCCGTTGAGTCACCTGCAACTCATAGCGATGCTATGTACAAAAGCCCTAAACCTTGATCTATCCTGTGCCAATCTCACTGTCTCAGACACACCCACTCCCACTACTACTCCAGTCACTGAACCAATCCACCTCATCAAGGTTCTTCTTCTCTTGTGCTGTCCCTCCCCTCTCCCAAGCATGATCTCCATCTCCAAGAACTGGTCCCTCCTTGCAACATGTCCACAGTATATCAGATAAAGCCTCCAAGGGGCAACCTGGTCTCACCCTCTCTATGATGAACCTGTTTGTTCTCCTAGCAGTCCATGGTACATTCAATACTCTTCTCCAACTCAAAGGCATCAATTCTCCTTCTATAAGCCCTAATCATTGTCCAGCTTTCTGATGCATAGAGAGCAATTGCAAAGACTGGATCAGGTGTACCTTGTTTGATGCATAGATAGATATAAAATGAAGGACAAATTCATGACATATTTGTATACACACAAACACCTTTGGAAAACCAACGTGGGATTAGATGTGCACACAAACATAGGAAACATTTCACAGATGAGCAGAGCCTTAGGGTGTCCCTCTTGTGACACCTCCCTGAGGTCATCTGCTCTCTATGAGGAAAGAGAGGAGGGAGGGGGGTGTGGGGTGTGAATGTTCAGAATGGCTTTCCTAGCTATTGGCATTGTCACCGAATGACTGGGTGGGACTATGCTAATAATGTGAATGAGGTCAGTAAATAACACTTTTGGATGGGAACATGCAAATAAGATGTGCAGACATCTAATGAGGAGATGAGTCAGTCTTATCATCCCACTAGGTTTAAAGTGAGCAAGCTCTGAGTCAGACTACGGAAATCTCCCTCCCTCCAAGAAAGAAGCGAGCTGGACACTGAGATAGAGACCAAGTGACTGAAAGCAGAGCAGTGGCCACTGTGGTGGAGACTCAGAGACAAATGAGACTGAGCTAGACTACAACTGTCATCTTACAGAATTGGGGCTCCTACCCAGGCCCACAGAAGGGCTGGGCAGATGCCCTCATGGCAGGACCAACAGACAACATCACAGCAGATGGAGAAAAGACTGAATGGGCCAATGATTTCATCATCCGTGATAATTTAACCCCTACGGTAACAGCAGTCAAGAAACCAAGACATGCTGCACTGGGGAAAATTTGCTGTCAAGCACCTCTCCGGAGTTCTACAGAGCAACAGTGTTTATTTATAGACTAATGCACATTTGGTTCAAGATGTGGCCTTTTTAATTACTTGTTATGCAGCTGAAATTTGGATGCCTAAGTTGGAAATAAGGATGACAGAAGAATTGATGCCTTTGAGTTTCGGTTTTGGAGAGGAGTATTGAGAATCCCAAGGACTGACAAAGAACTGACCACCCGGTCTCGGAGAAAGTGCAGCCAGGTGTCCTCAGAGAACATCCCACACACTCTGGGCGTGTTCCCAGGAGGGGCCAGTCCTTGGAAAAAGACATCATGTTGGGAAAGGCGGGGGAGGGGGGCCGTCCAAAGAGAGGGGGACCCTCAACAAAATGCACTGAGACAGTGACTGTAACAGGGTCTGAGCGGATCAGAGGTGGTGAGCCCGGCGCAGGATGCTGTCCACACGCTTAGTGGTAGCCAACTCAGTGGAACCTACCAACAACAGCAACAAGAACGACGGGGCTTTGAAGGAGGCACTCTGGTGGTCTGTGGGGCAGCCCAAAGGAGGCACTTCGAATCCCGTAGCTGCTCCTTGGGAGAAAGATGAACAAGCTCCTCTAATGTAATTTGCAGCTTTGGAGAACCCCCTGGAGAGTCAACTATGAGTTGTTTCCAACTAGACAATACATAACAACAACTACAACAACAATCACCACCAGAGAACTTTGTAACGCTGAGTCAGAGCCTTGAGGGTGAAGGTCAGAGGGTTTGTGAGCACGTCTGAGAAGCCAGCCTGAGTAGAGAAGCAGGTCCTGACTGTATCCTACCTGGACTGTAACCTGTTAACTGCTCTAGTAAACCCTGTGAGTATGACCTGTGAGCTCTGTGTGGACACTGCAATGGCTGAGTGGACCCAGCAGGAGCGAGCGAGTCCCGGGAGGGCGGTGGGTGTTAGAATTGATTGCAGTAGGTCCCGGGAGTGTGAAGACACTGGTTTTGTGATGTGGATGTTCTGATGGAGACCACTGCCCCTTGTGGAGTTAGTGGGCATCAGACGGGGCTGCTCTCAAGCTGATTCCACTCTTTTTATAGGAGAGGAAGGCAGGGAGAGGTGGGAAGGAGAGAGAAGAGGACAGGGAAGGACAGGTAGGCTGACTGCCCTCCTGAAGCATCTGTGTGCCCTCAGACAGTGCCCTGCAAGGATTGTGTGCTCCAAGGTTGTAGTCCTGTGAGGACAGTGCTCCCTGAGGATGGTGTCCTCCAAGGACAATGCCCTCCAGGGACCGTGCTCCCTGAAGATTGTGCTCCCTGAGGACAGTGCTCTCTGAGATCAGTGCTCTGTGAGGACAGGGCTGAGAACAGTGCTCCCTGAGGATGGTGCCCTCTGAGAACATGCTCCCTGAAGACAGTGTCCTTTGAGGATGGTGCTCCCTGAGGAGGTGCTTTCTGAGATCAGTGCTCCCCAAGGCTGGTGCTGAGAACAGTGCTTCCTGAGGACGGTGTCCTCTGAGAGTGGTGCTCCCCAAGGGCAGTGCCCCTGAGCACGGTGCTCTCCAAGGATGTGGCTCCCTGAGGATGGTGTCTCCTGAGGACGATGCCCTCTGAGGATGGTGCCCTGTGAGGATGACCTCAGGCACCACCAGGCGTGTGCCCAGTGAGAGTCTGCGAGCTGAAGTGACTGGGTTTCTTTACGGCAGCTGTGTGCTTTCCTTCTCCTTGGTCCTCATTCACCCCCCTAAGCTGAAAACTTTCAGTTTCATTCCATTTGCAAAGTGGGAGTCTTGTGAGGAATGTTGCACCAACTAAGGCAACTTTGTTAACTAAAATGATAATTTGTTAATGTAAATAGTAAAAGATGAATCTCTCAGAATGAACTTTCAGCAGTATCAAATGCCCTGCAGCTAACAGGCCTCCTTAGTTTTGGCTGCTTTCTTTCGTCTGGGCTTTGCTGGAGCCTGTGTACACGGCTGGTCACTGCT